GGGGGGGGCGTGTGCACCTGGTTTTGCCCCCAAAACGGCGCCCTAAAAAAACTTTTCAACGCCCCCCCCCCGCAACAAGGGTTCCGTATACTAGACATCGAATTTCAAGTTCAAAATAATCTTAGTTTCTGGTGCTGGTCCCTTACCTCAAACTCAATATTCTGAAAAAACCATCACGGATTCGGATTCCTCGACCCCGAAAACCTTTCATCAAACATTTTATATAAAACCGTTATTTTATCAAATTAACGTGTCTCGGATGAGAAAGTCAAATTCGCAAATTTTGAGAAGCCAATTATAAATTCTTGATTTTTTCATTAAGGATACGTTATTTTGATAAAATAACGGTTTTTTATAAAGTTTGACAAACGGTTTTCGGGGTCGAGGAATCCGAATCCGTGATTGGTTTTTCAAAATATTGAGTCGGAGGTAAGGAACCAGAAGCCCCCTGCCCCATATAACAATACCATCAATACTAATACATCAATACCGTATTGGTATTGATGCATGCCTAACGGTAACTTCCTTCCACTAGGAACCGCTCTCAGATGAGTCATTCATGGTTGTACTTCACTTGTACTTCGCCCGTACTTCGCTTGTACTTCCCTGTACTTGAAAAAAATTTTGAAGTACGTGAAGTCTCGCTTTTCCCCCCTAGAGTAACGTACATCCATTGACGAAATTCTATAATAACTGGTAGGAGTGTAGATCAGCAGCGTTAGGACTCTATACAAGCGGAATCAAGTTATTGTTCACCGATGGTTTGGTTTTAACTGTAGTACTCTCTAGCAAACGGAATAATGATGTTTATCTCCGTTTAGGTGAAAGGTTTATTCACTCAAAAACAAGACCTTGTTACTCAAATTCAATCAGATCGCGAACGACGAAAGAAAGGTGATGAACCAGTTTTATTCACTGTTCAAGGACAATCAACAACTGAATTGAATGGTCAATTTGTTCATTCTCAAATCTTTATCGATGTTTTACTTCGTATAAAACCAAATCAAGTAGATAAAGATGAATTTATTGCTCGCTGCAATAAAACATTCAAAGAAAATGATAGTGAGTTGGCGATTGTGAAGGAATTCAATAAAAAGTATTCACCTGATCGAGCTTTATGGTGGTATACAAGAGAATCATTCGTCTATCGAATGTTGAATAAAGCACTTCGAGTACAAAATACCGATGTACTCTTTCTATTTCGATTCTTCATTGTTGATCTTCAACAACAGCTCAGTAACCATCGATGTTCTTCACCTGTTCGTCTTTATCGAGGTCAAATGATGTCGAAAGATGAAGTGCAAATATTAAGAAATTCAATCGGACAATTTATCTCGATTAACTCATTTCTTTCAACTAGTGTTGATCGTTTTGTGGCTCTTAGATTTCTGAAAGATGATTCCGATGATCTTGAACAAGTCTTATTCGAAATTGATGCTGATCCATCTGTTAAGCCCGGTATACGTTGTTGTGTATAAGTAATTTATTACTGAACAAGATGATCTTTACATGAAATTAGGAGCTATTTATACCTGAGGTTAAACGGAAACGGTGGGTTATAACCCAGAGCTAA